GCTGAGCAGGGAGTCCGATGTGGGGCTCGATCCCAGGACCCTGGGATCATGACCTGAGCTGAAGGCAGATGCTTAACCAACTGAACCACCCAGGCACCCCAATAAATTGTATTTTAATAATTTAGCTATGAGAAGCTATATATTGTAGTACTGTATAAATTATATAAGTACACTAAAGTATCATTATAATGCTTTCAGTTTTCAAGCTGTGAGACCATATTACTAGAAAGTCTGTCATGATGAAGGCCTCCTGGTACTTCTAAAGGTAAAAAATGTTTGTGACTGCAGTCTACAAGGGAACTGCCTTTTAAAGAATCTTGTGTAATAGCATGTTTGACGTTGCAAAACACACACATATTTTAACATTATCGTGCTTTATCACAATAAAGATTTTATCAAAATTTAGAAAGAGGGCTTTAAGTTTATCGACTACCTATCACTCCAAACACTGTGCTATATATTTTTCATATATTGTCTAATTTAATCCTCACAACTGTGGAATAAGATTATCATCTTTATTTTTATGGATTGGGATACTAAGACTCAAAGAAATTAGGTGGTTTATTTAAGATCACATGGTCTATAACACACAGACCTGGGACTTGAACCCAAGAGTGTCTGATTCTAAAGCCACAGGACTTTCCTTTATACTATGTTACCACCACTCAAAAAATTTAGAGTAAAAGCTGTTCTTTAGCTTCCCAGAAATTTCTTAGCAAATCAAGTCATTCACTCACTACTTGTCCTCTGTGTGTCTACAGCTGTGTTGGGTTCGATTCGTCCATCTGTTCAATCCCCTATCACCAAATAGATATTAGGTGCCTGCTGTGTTCCAGGCATTATGCTAGGCACTATGGATACCATGATGAGTGAAAAGGAAGTCCTCAAGTCCTGTGGCAAAGAGGAGAGTCATTAATTAGTCATAAAAATAAATGTAAAATTACAACTGTGTTAAGGATTATGATGAATTACAAGTTAGTAGCTCTGGGTCTGAAATTTAACATGGTAGCATTTTACTATCTAACAGGGGTCTCTGACTAGAGGGTCACAGAAGGTTTCTCCAGGGAAATGATGAGTGAGTAGAGATTTGGAGAAACAGTAAAATTACTTAGGTGAAGAAGATTGTTCTAGACTGAAGGAACACAATGTCTAAAGATACTGTGGTGAGAGAAAGCAGTGCATGTCTGAAGACATGGAAGGGCCATATGAGTGGAGCAGAGACAGCAAAGGGGACAGTGCAGTACATCAGGCAAGAGAGACAGGCAGCCAGATGACACTGGGGCCTAGAGGCCAGAGAAGAGATTCTGACTTGAATACTGAAAGCAACGGGAAGCCACTGAATGGTTTTGAGAGGGGAGATAACATGACCAGATCTACATTTTCGAAAAGCTTACAATGAAGTGGGGAGAACTGACTCAGAGGAGGCAAGAGCAGACACAGGACGACCAGTCAGGAAGCTACCAAAATAATCCAGGCAAGAGATGATGGTATCTTTTTTTTTAAGATTTTATTTATTTATTTGACAGAAAGAGAGATAGCGAGAGAGAGACACAAGCAGGGGGAGTGGGAAAGGGAGAAGCAGGCTTCCCACGGAGCAGGGAGCCCGATGCGGGGCTCGATCCCAGGACCCTGGGATCATGACCTGAGCCGAAGGCAGA